ACGGGGAGAAGCAGCACAGGCATCAACATCACTTCTGGGGAAATTCAAATTGATTGTCCCCCTTTGATGCTGCTCAATCACCTCTATCTCACTCACCCTTCCTACAACCCAGATTAAATCATCTGGTTCTCTCCATCCTGAACATTTTTTTTTTTCCTGAGGGAGCCCATCCAAAACTTTGGGACTATGTGATGTGAATTCACCACTCTGCAGGAATCTCCTGACTTGTAAAGAGCCAGATTACACTCTCCTTGTCAAGAGGAGACTGTGGAAATTTGATTTTGCCTCTTCCACACACTTGGTGCTGGTTGCTGTCCGTCAGGGCTGTGTCTGCCTGGCCCATTAGAGTGACCTGGGAACACAGTTTGGAACTCAAAGTGACTTCACTGCTCACGGATGAACTGGAACTGCTGTGTGCAAAAATCTGATCTTTTTCCCTTCCCCCCCATCCCAGTTCCCCTGTCTTTGCCATCTCCTTTTTCAGAGATGTTTGCTCTTTATTTTTTGTCCCACAGACTAATAAAGGGCAGTTACAAGTCATTCCCAAGTGCTCCTCTGTGCTCAGCAAGTGCAGGTTCCTTTTTTTTATGTCCTCCACCCCTTCCATCCACAGGCTGTGGGTGCAAAGGATCTGTGGGGGAATATTAAGAGGCAGGTGCAAATGCAGGGCATAAGGGTATGTTTCTCACCTCTGTTGAGAAAATTGTAAACTAACATCAAAAAATCCAAATGAAAAGCAATGAACTCATTTATTTTAACATCTGAATCTTAATCCTCTTCCCTTTACCAGAATAAAGAACAGGGTACGTTCAAGGAAATTATCCCTCCATGCAGCAATCAGAGCTTCCTCACAGAGAGGACTTTTTGCACATCCTCCTGCTGACTGCCCCTGTCCTGGCACACTCCTAAAATTGGTGATAATTCATTGCAAACATTAGCTGCTTCTTTTCTTCACCTTCCTGACCGTTCATTCAAAGCAACAAAGCAAGGACAGGGACCAACTGAGTAGCCTGATTTTTTTTCCTTCCATAATTTTTCTGTGTCTTTTCATGGCTGTTTCAGTTGATCTACGCCCACATGTGCCAGCTACATCCTCCTTCAGATCTCTGGGAGGGATCTGTGTGGCAGAATGTCTCAGACAAGCAGGGCTGTCCCTCTTGTCCACCCGGCTGCTGCCTGCCCGTGCTGTTCTCATCCTTCCTCCCTTTCCTCCTTTCCTGGCCTTTGCCTGGCTCATGCCAATGTTTGATCTGCATCATCCATCACGGGACACAGCAACCTGGCTCTGCACGTCTGGGGAACTGGCACCACCACTGGAGATGTGATCATCTTCAGGTTTTTGATCTTCTGCCTTTGCCCAAAGCCTTTGGTGACTGTAACTCCATCCTTCTCTGTCTACAGGCAGCTCCAGAAGTTACTGTGAATTATCAAGTCACCCTGTCTGCTACCAGCCATGGTTTTGAACCAGTTGTTCAGCTTGTTCTTGACCAGCACTGCTGACCTCACCTCTTCATAATGTTCTTCAGCAGCTTCTTACACATATCATGTAGCCCTAGGACACTCCACACACCTCTTGCAACACACCGGGTCAAATGACTTTTTGGAATTGTGCAACTGAAGAGATGAAGTGCTCCTTGATATCTCTGAATTTGCCAGGGAACAGCCTCTTGCACTGGTTTTGCTGTACTGTCCCTCTTGCTTTGTGGAATGATTCCACCTTCTGACTCCTCCAGCAAGGAGCACAGTGAGGGATTTGCTTGGGTGTCAGGAAACACACAGTGTTTGGAAGATCCCTTGTGGAAACTCACCTGCTAGGAACCCTTTTCCTTGTTTAAGGGATCTTTCCTCTCCTGGTAACATGCAGGTGCCTGGTTGGGCCAGTGACCCATGCCACAGCCAAATCAATCCATCCTCAGCCCCTCAGAATCCTTCAGTCTCCCAACCTTTAATAGAATTACAGAATGGTTTGGGCTGGAAGAAACCTTAAAGATCATCCAGTTTCAACACCCCTAGCATGGGCAAGGACATTTTCTACTATACTTGATTGTTCTCAGTCCTGTCCAACCTGGACTTGAACACTTCCAGGGATGAAGAAGGTTCTCCAGTCAACCTATGCCAGAGCCTCACCACCCTCACAAAGGATTTCTTCCTAATATCCAACCCAAACCTGCCTTCTGTCAGCCTAAAGCCATTCACCCTTGTCCTGTCACGACATGCCCTTGTAAAAAGTTCCTCTCCAGCTTTCCTGTAGGCTCCCTTCAGGTACTGAAAGGCTGCAATTAGGTCACCTCAGAGCCTTCTTTTCTCCAGGCTAAACAATTCCAATTCTCTCAGTCTTCTTTGCACCTCTGCTAGCAAGATCTTCTTGTCAGCCTGCTTCTGAAGCATTATAATCTCCCAAACACTGAGTCTCCAAATCTGGGATGGGTCATCTTTAAAAACTCTGGTAATATTTCCTCCACCTCTTCAGCCTGTCCTTCTCTCAAAGAAGGAAGATCTCTTCAACATTAATGCAGAAGACCCCAAGGGAAACCCAGATTCTGCTCTTCCACTCCTTGCTAATTTTGGTCTTCCTAAATGCCAGTCAGAGTTTTTCAGCTCTGTTGACTGTTTGGGTTTTGCACTTGAACTTCTTTTAGCTTATGTTGAGTCTCATGAGAGCCTGCAGGCCCTTGCCATACCTGTCATGGTTAGTATTGCCTTTGCTGGTTTTTGGCATTTGCCAGTCAGTGACAAATGTCAGTCACTGGGCACGTGAGTGGTTCACTCCTAAGGTCAGGCACGCCTTGACTGGCAGCAAAACCACCTTTTTCAAAGAAATCAAGGCAGCTCTTCCTCAGCATCAGTCGTAGGAGCCCATAGAGCTGTGAGCATCAGGGGGCCTGGTCCACAGCCCTAAACAGAAAGGCTGATTTCTGTAAGGTGACAAAGCTTGAGTTTACCGGATTTGGGGTTTTTTGAGTGTGATTCCTGCTGATGCCTCTCTGGTGTTTTGCATCACTGCTTTAAAACAAGGTTTCTCCATGCGGTGTCACTCCCTTTTCTGCCCACCTGATTTTCAAAGGCACACAGGATTATGCTGGAACATCTTTAACTGGCTCGTTAGCAGTGAGGTTTTACCCAAACTGATCTCAGACTCCTGTTTCTGCAGGCCAAAGCTTCCATCAGCAGCAATCCTATTGCTGGACTACTTCCCATCATCAGACACTGACCACGTTGGAGACACCAGATAGCCAAAATGAGTGAACAGACTTCAAAAGGTTTCTTTACAGTAGCATTTACAGTGTCACTGTGGTCAGCTACCTCTGTGTGACCAGCTGAATTGAGCCCCTTCTCTCTGTCCTGCTTCAGTTCTTGCCCCTGATTCCTGCTCTGATTTTGTCCTTTATCCTCAAGCTCCAGGTCTTACTGAGATATTTACAGACTACAAACCAGTCACCCCCAATATTCCCTTTCTGTAAATAATTAAAGAGTGTTCCTTGAGAAGCTTCAAGGCACAGCTGCACATTGCGGGGTGGTATCTGCTCACAAGCGTGGTCCCAGTGTTAGTTTAAATCCCACAGGATATTTGTATTGTATTTAGCTGGTTAATAAACAACTTCATTCCTGCTATTTTACCCTGCTACTCATGATTTTATAGGTGCCATGACAATTTCATACAGCATCAATATGAAGTTATTATAATTTCTTATTCTTGTGCCTCATTCACCTCAAAAGCACAAGGAACAGCTGATTGTTCTCAAGAACCACAATAACATTTTAAAAAATTATTAATTTTTGATACAAACTCCATCACCTCTTCAATATCATCTTTTTTTCCTAAATGTATCCTTTTTCTTTTCCATACCAAAAGACACCTGCCCATTTGCCCCCATTCCAAGGCAGTGGTAGATCTGTGTCAGTGAGCTGTTCTCTTCCTTATTTTACACTCCATGCCCTCAGTTTTAGACTCCTTCACAACTGGTAGATGATGATCCTTTATTTTCCCCCTAAACTGATGACAGAAACAGAATAATGAACAAATTTCCACCAAATTTCCATGAGCAGAGACTCAGGCATTCATTTTTCACAGGGAAATCCTGATATCTTGGTTTAACCAGTAGTATACACTTAATTTGCACCATGGTGATTTTATTCCAGTTTGTAAAACCCACCTCCAGGACAGAACTAATCAAACACTTTCATAAATCAGTTACATCAAGAGTTTCTCCCACTTGCTAACAGCAAATTAATTTGACAAGGTCTATTTTCTATCTACACACACTCGTTGGCATCAGTTTCATTTCCTTCTTTTAAGAAGGAAATTAATCATTAATTAAGAGATGCACCCATACATTTCTTGCCTTTAACAGTGAAGGGTTGAAAGTCTGAGCATCACTAAATCATTAGCCCAAAGATTTTAAATAATGAGCCAATATCATCTTTCTAAGTGCTCTAAAACCCTCCCAGTGTCCCAAAATGAAAAGCCAGCATCAACAGCCCCCACAATATGTTAATGGTTCACAGAGTTCTGAAACTCTTGGCTGTGAATTACTGGGACTGGCTGATCACAAAATATTTCATTTATGTGGCTGCTATTTAACATAATCCCTAGTTATTAATGGAGCCCAAAATGCTCTTTCATCAGCACCTGAAACTAACACACTATCTGATTTTTTCTGCCCCAGACAAGCATGGAAAAGAAATACTAATTTACTACTCCTCCATTTCCTTGTGGCGGTGGTGATGGCAGCCACTGCCTTTATCTACTAATAGTTTTGATTATTTTTACCTTAGCTGACCATAAATTTATGTTTTTCTTTTTCTATTACTCATTCCAGAGTGGAGGTGGCTTATTCAGATGAATTAGGAGCAAAAGATTTTGGCCTTTACCTTACCCTGTAGGAGAGATCACTACACAATAACCAGCCCAGAATGCCAAGCTCTATTTCAAATATCCTATTACACACACACACACACAAAAAAAAAAAAAAAAAAAAAAAAAAAAAAAAAAAAAAAAATTAAAAAGCACAGAGATGCTTTATTTCAGCCCAGGTCAATTTCTTGCTCTAGGCAGGAGGGAAGAAGCCCCTTGCTTAACATTCCTCCCAGAAAAGACACAACCCAATAGCGCCAAGTCGACTTTTTTACTGTTGCAAAAATAAAACGAGGAAGTATTAAATTCATGTGATCAGACTGAGGATTTTAAAATACTTTTTATGAATCTTAAGCCTGAGGAGAGGCTGGAGGAATGCAGGGTGCAAACATGTTTCCAGACTCCGGGAGCGTGTGCTTGACCCAGCCACAAACAGGTGATTTCCTTCTGCCTCCCCACCAGGTTCCTTTTCCCCCCAAAACACAAAAGTCGGGCTTCTTTCCCACTTTTGGTAAAATCACTTCTGATACACAGAGTTACACATCCCTCAGTCCCTCAAAACTCTGAAATTCCCACTTGCAAGTGTCTCACTCCGGAGGTGTCTATTTAATCCCACTTTTATTGGGAGCACAGCTCCGGGTAGTTTACAGGGGTTACAAACAATGAGGCTTTTATCAAAACTTGGGCTAATCAGTCCCTAACAAGCTCTCACTCAGGAAGGGGCTAGGCAGGCCCAGGCTAAAACTAACCTGAGGGGATAAGGAAAAGGGGGAAAGAAAAGGATTGGGAAGAGGGTGTCCTTCTCAAACCGGATTAGTGCCCCCAGTCAGCCACAGAAACATTTGTGAGAGCACAGCAGCCAGAAAAACCAGCGAGGAGTGGACACAGAGCAGGCACTGCTGCTTTCAACCAGGATTTGCTCCCAGCAGCTCCAAGTGCTGCAGCATCTACAGCTTGTGATGAGCTATGGTTTATTCCTTGCTTTGTGGCTCCATGACACTCAGCAGCAGAGAATTGCACTGAGAAAATATTAATATAAATAATCCAGAACGTAAACCCTCAGTTTTCAGCCTGCAGAGTTTAACAGAGACTGTGAACTCAAAACCAAACCAAGCCTGTTGTTGGTAGCCTGAGCACAGTGGGATCCCCAGGAAACATCTGAGTCTGAAAAATCAAGAAAATGTTTGAAAATCTCTGATCTTATCATAAGGAGAGATGGCAAAATTAGATTGCCAGAACTTCAGTCCAGTAGATTACTAGATACAGAGAGGCAGAAATATACATCATTCTCCTTAGGTAAGGGATAAAAATTACTTTAACCTGTGTACATGTACACAGAACACCTCTCCCAAATTCGCAGCAGTGAAACATATATCGCACACCATCAGATATTCTCTGTTAGCCATTTTCAGGAAAAATCAGGCGTTGAGTGGAAAAAAAGAGATGTTATTATAGCACATTAATAGGGAGGAATAGGGAGAAAAATGCTTGGCTCTAAGGAAGGGAAGGATACTAGATCTTTAATTTAATTTGAGCTGCTCTTAGTCGATTCCTTATTGTTCTTGAGGGTATAGACACTGGAGTACTTCAAGAGAAAAGATAATTTTTCCATCTTGCCTCTGAGGATGAAGAACTCATTCCCAGTTTCACTGATTGCTCTGGAGAAAGATAGAAAAGAATTTTTACTGAGCAGATTTTACGTGGACCTCGGAGTCACCACCTTGCTCCTCACCAGCCCTGGGGAAAAAGTGAGACTCAGATTGCAAATGCAGCCAAAACAAAACAAACCTGCAGAGATCTGGAGCCATTGAAGGGATCCTGGTTTTTCTATCCTCCTGGTAAAGCCAGTAGAAGCCAATATGGGTTATTGTGTTCTGTTCCCCCAACACACACCCTGTGCCCAGAGCTCAGCATCCTCGGGAAACAGAGAGAGGCCCAGGTGGGTGCAGGTATCTGTTCCCACTGCTGGGCTGGGCGCTCAGCTCTGAAGCATTTTCAGGTTTCTGTGTTCAGCTGCACACACACAGCAGGAAAGTGGAGCCTGTACCTACATGTTCAGAGGAGCAGGGCCCCAGAGGCACAGCCAGTGTCTTCCTGCAGGGGGAAAAGCGTGTGCTGTGTGCATGACAAGGACAGGCACAGCACCTGAGCCAACGGTGGGGACAGCACCAGGCAAAGATGGGGAGGATCTCGCTCTCCTGCAGCACTTGGGATGCTTTGAAACACTTTCCAAGGCAGCTGGCTGGAGAGGTTTGCACTTAACCCCAGCTGGCTGGGGATACAGCTCAGCCCAGCTCGAGGTGCCACAGGCTCCTCTACCTCACTGCCCACTCACAGAGCCAACAAAACTGCTGAAACCCAGCCCCAAATCTGCTCCCAGTGATGGACAGCAGCCTCAGACTCCTACCTTGAAACTGATTTCAATTTTGCGTTTCGTCATCTCTTGCCAGATCCCCGGTGCGTTTCTGCAAGGCAAACGTCTCCCAGAGCTCTCTAGAAAAAATAGCAGAATTTAGAGAGCACAGAGGCAGAGTGCTGGATCTCTTCATGCTCTCCTCATGCCTTGGCAGAAGGGAGCAGCAACAGGTCTGTACTGAGAGCTGATGATGTTTCGAGGCAACACTGCATGCTACTTGCAGGATAAATGCATTAAGAAAATTAAATGTTTTTACAGCCGTCACAGCATCAAAGCTTTATTCTCTCCACTCTTTAAATTAAGTGTTGGTTTGCATATCCATGCCATCCCAGCTGTGTAATAACCTCTCTAAAGCTATTTTTGTTTCACATTCCTTACTATTTGGTAAAGCAAGCTGGAGTTTTCTGAGGACATGCATTTTTATTAGAGCTAATTCAGCATTATTTTCCCACTCTTTTCCTTTGTTGGAGGCAGAGAAATCAGCAAAGGGAAGCTCGAAGGCAGCACCCCATGCCTGTGAGGGAAGCTGCATTCCCAGCCTCGCCATAGCCGGGCTGTTCCTCTAGATGGCTCTGCCTTTGCCCAAAAACATCAAATCCCTGCAGCAAAACCCTCAATTTCGAGCGATACGGCGAAATTGACTCTTGACTGACTGCTCCTCTCCCTCCTGCAACGATCGCGGGGGGTTTTGGCCAAACGGATAAACACGGATTTGTTGTAATTTTAGAGAATAATATTTTCGGCTTAGCTCTTCAGACTCAGAGGGAAATTACTTTTAAAAAGTCTACCTGTTTCTTGTTTTTTAAATGTACTTTCTAGCTGTGATTTCCCCGTAAACTGCTTGGTTTGGATGCCTGTTGTCCAGCCAGACTTCAAACCGGCATTTTCCAGCGCGACCCTGCTCTAAAAGAGATGAGGAGGTGTTATAAATCTTAAAGAGAAGGAAGCTGAGAAGGGAAAAGGCACCTTATGAAACGTAATGTAAACTTTTCTCCTGCTGTTCTGGGTATATAAATACACACGGGAAGCTTTTTTCCCAAGGGATACAAAATAAAATCAGCAAAAGCAGCAGTGACGGCAACAAAATAACAACAGAAAAAGAAAAACACACGCACACACACAAAAAAAAAGAAAAGAAAAGAAAACAAAACAAAAACAACAAAGCCCCCGAACACCTCTCTTTATGATTAAAGGAAAAAACCCCAAATCCTAATTCTTTAACCCAGACATTTTTCAGTTTTTTTCTGTCTCAAAAAAACCCATTTGTTCACTTGTTTTAAAACGAAATACAAAGTTGAAAATCCTTCGGCTATTATATTCCTGCTCAAATCACGCAGGGGACGAAAATTTGAGACTGGAGTCAGCTCGGGAAAGCTTCACTGCTTTACACGTGCTTTTATAACTATTTTATGGAAGACATAAAACGCAAAGACTTTTTCCAAACGCTCCTCTCTGCCCCAAATCCTGTTGTCAGACCCAGACACCCGGCGCTTGCAGACAGCGCTTCGTGTTCACATCAGGAAAGGGCATTTTTTGGGCATTTTTACCAGCAGAAAACTGAATAACAACTCCATTTAAGAACGGGGAATGCAATGTACATCCCATGTACCTGGGATTTAGACAAAGTCTCTAAATCGTCCCGCACCATTGACCGTATTTTTGTTGTTACACGTGTGCTTTGCCCCGGACCAGAAGATTTGCCGGAGCTGGCCCCTGTAGATGCCGGGTGTCGGGATCGTTGTGAACACTGAGAACTTTTTCTCTGCAAAAGGATGCGCTTTCCGTTCAGGCTGCCCCGGAGCACTAAGGAGAAAATAACTTTTATTCACTAAATCTCGCCCCGCGCCCTCCAGCCCGTTCCGCCCGCGGTACGAGCGAAGAAGCCGGTGGGGTTTGTTTGTTTGTTTGTTTAATTTCGGGCAATTTCTTATCCAAAGTTAATGAACGGCGATCTCAGCCCCGGTTGTTGGGAGACGGGCGGCAAAACTACACTTCAAGAACAGAGTGGAAGCGAATTCCTCCCTTGGCGTTGCCGTCGGGGGAACCGCAGCGATGCTCATCGCTCATCCCCCTCCGAGCGCGGGGACGAAGGGATCGGGGCCGATCGCATCCGTGGGAAAGCAGGATGGCATCCCAGAGCGCCGGGACAGCTCCGGGGAGGGGGCGGCCGCTGCGGGGGCGACCGGGCAGCGGCGGGAGAGACCCGCGGGTCGGGAAGGGGGGGACGGGCACAGCACGGGGGGTGGGTCCGGCTCGGGGATGCTGCCCCCGCGCTGCCGGCAGCCAAATCCCTGGCGCCTCCCGCAGCTCCCCCGCCGGTCCCTCCCCCATCGCCGCTCTCGGGGCCCGGCCTTGCCCCCCTCCCTCCGCCTCCCGCCCGCCACCGAGCCGCGCTACTGGCTGCTCCCTGCGCGCCGCCGCCGCCCGCCCAGCCCCGGCCCCGGCGGCGGGCGGGGAGTCCGGGCGCACGGCAGCGCCTATAAGGGCGCCGCTCCGCAGCCCCCCGGGAGTTTTGGGTCTAGGGCCACCGGGGCCGCGGGGCGGGGGGTGTCGCCGGGAGAGCACGGGAGCGGGGGGGAGCGCCGGCCGCCCTGCATGGCCAGGGATTATGAGCGCCGGTGAGTTGCAGCAGGCGCAGCCCAGAGCCTCGGCGCCGGCGGCCGCCCCCGCGCCCCCGCAGCCCCGCAGCGCACAGGAAGCCCCCGACATGGCCGTGTACTGCAGCGAGAACTTCAGCGTCTACCCCCAGCCCAGCCTTCACCCGCCCGGCGCCGCCGCCGCCGCCGCCGCGGCCGCCGCTGCCGCCGCCGCCGCCGCCGCCTCGTCGGGGCAGCGGGCGGGCGGGTACGCGCTGGGGGACTACGGGGCGCCCGGCAACGCCGGGTACCTGTGGGGCATGAACAGCCCCGCTCCATACCTGCAGGGCCCGCCCGGCACCGCCGCCGCCGCCGCGCCCTTCCTGCCGCCCGCCTCGTACGGCTGCTCGCGGGGCGGGCAGCTCGTGGGCTCGCCCCCGGCGCCCGGCTCGCCGTCGGCGGGCGGCGCGGAGCTGAGCTGGCTCAGCCTGGCCAGCCAGGAGGAGCTGCTGAAGCTGGTGCGGCCGCCCTACTCGTACTCGGCGCTGATCGCCATGGCCATCCAGAGCGCGCCCGAGAGGAAGCTCACCCTCAGCCACATCTACCAGTACGTGGCCGAGAACTTCCCCTTCTACAAGCGCAGCAAGGCCGGGTGGCAGAACAGCATCCGCCACAACCTCAGCCTCAACGACTGCTTCCGCAAGGTGCCCCGCGATGAGGACGACCCCGGTGAGGTGCCGCGCCGGGCGGGAGGGGTGGCTGGGCAGCGGGGAACGGCGGGTGCTGGCACCGGCACCGCCGTGAGACAGGGGAGGCAGCGTCCCCGTGGCCGGGCGGGTCCCCTGTCCCCTTCTGGTCGGGCGCTGTCCCGACGCCGCGCTCTCCGTCCCCCCAGCGCCAGCGCTGTGATGAGCCCGCGTTTCTCCATCCCTTCTAGTCGGACGCTGTGATGGGACCGCGTTCCCCGTCCCCTGACCCGGGCGCTGCGATGTGACCATTCCCATTCCCCCGGCCGCCCCAGCCCTCTCCCCCTCCCCGAGCAGCCCGGGAGCGCCGGTTGTGCAAGGCCCGGCTCCTTCGGCCCGTGATTCACGGCTCCCCTCCCTGCCCGCCGCTGCCCGGGCCGGCCCCGGGGCGCAGCCGGTGCCCGGAGTGGGCGGAGGCGCGCCCGGACAGCGCATGTCCGGCCCGGCGGTGCCGGGACCTGCCGGGCTGGAGCCGCTCGGGACCTTGTGGGGTCCCTGCGCCCATCCCGGCCGTGGGCAGGAGGCGAGAGGGGACAGCTGCTGCCACCACAGTGCCCCGCACCAAGGCTTGTGCGAGGGGCAGCTTGTCTGCAGCCCCCGCAGCTCAGTGCTGCTGGCCTGCCGTCCCTCGGAGCGCTGCCTGAGTGTGCCAGCCCGCCTCTCCATCAGCTTTTCTATGAGCCATAGCCTGGGCACTGCCTTGTCACCACTGCTGAAATGGCTGTAAGTGGCCCAGCTTCTGTGAGGCAGCCAGAGCAAGGGGAACCCCTCTTCACATTCTCTTTAGCCAGGCTGGAGGTACAGATCTGTTTGTGCTTTAGGATGGGGAGATTCTCCTCTTCTATGTGGCCTTAAGGTTCACTTGGGCATTGGAGGGATGGAGGTGGAAATGTCCTGGAGACAAGTTTTGGATCCATGGACTGGACAACAGAGGGAGAAGGAGCAGGTGCAGGAGAGATGTGGATTCTGTGCCAGTTGGACAAGACATGGATGCTGCTTATCTATCAGCAGCGGGGCTCGCTGTCGCAGAAGTTGACTTTCTCTCTTGTGTCTCCCGTTTTCCACCAGGGAAGGGAAACTACTGGACCTTAGATCCCAACTGTGAGAAGATGTTTGACAACGGGAACTTCCGTCGCAAACGCAAGCGGCGCTCTGAGCCCAACGCCCCCGCGACCGCCTCTGCGACCTCCTCTCTGGGGGGCCTGAAGGCCGAGGAAGAGCGACCCATCCCAGCCACAGGCAAACCATGTGGAAACAGCCCACCCCCAGAGCTGGACCCCTCACCCTCTGCCAGGGACCATCCCAAAAGCTCCTCTCCCTCCAGTATCATTTCATCCACGCCCAGCTGTCTCAGCACCTTCTTCAGCGGCATGAGCTCCCTGAGCGGCGGAGGCAGCCGGCTGACGGGGGGTCTCAGCAGTGACCTGCACCACAGGAACTTCTCTGCTGGACAGCTGAGCAGTGGCACTTTCACCCCTTCCAGCAGCTCTTCTCAGGAAGTGCCTTCCCCAGACCAGCTGCAGCGGGTCGCGGGACCTTCCCCTGCCTACTACAGCTCCTTCCACCCCAGCAGCGGCAGCCAGGGAGCCCAGTACAACCACTACTACAACTTCACAGTCAACAGCCTCATCTACACACGGGATGGGACAGAGGTGTAGGGTGCTGGGGCAGCCGGCCGGCCAGCGCTGCAAAGGGAGAGGGAGTTGGACCATGCGCTTTTGCAAACAGCATTTCAACGTGGACACTTCCCAGGAGTTCTTCCAGGAAGACTGATCTCCTCACCTTTCAACATAAGGACACCCCTTAAGCACCAGCAGAATGCATTGTTTTTTCCCCATCCAGGAAAACGTTAGGTGGTGTGGGTGGTTTGCCATCTATATTCTGCAGGCGTGAACTGAATTAATGTTTTCAGAGGTTGCTAATCCTGAATGTAGAACAAGAAGTTTAAAAACCATAGCCATAAAGTGGTCTTGGTAAGAGCCAAGCGTAGACATCCAATGAGTCTTAGAAGAGAGCAGGAAAAAAAAAAATGAAGAGATTTCTCATGAAGTGCCTTGTACAATGTATTAAAAACCTCTTCTGCCAGCAATTGCCTCTGTAAGCCCTTGCTTGTGCCCTGATCCTGCAATATGCAATGCACGGGGGGAATACCCTATATAAACACCCACCCAAAACCTCCTCAAACTCATGGAGGCTCTTCCTGTGTCTGGCATATTGTACAGCAGGGCTGTGTCTTGTAAAACAATCTTCTTTCCCTGAGCTTAGTACCAAAGATAACTCTAGCCACGCAGCTTTAGCACAAGAATAAACACTGGGGTATTTTTATACATATTTGTACGTAATGTAACTCTTCTGTACATACGTTTCTATGTGGTTTTATATTTGTAAATTATGCTCTGGAGGTGTACTTATTTATAACGTGTTTTAAACTTTGTTAAAGTTTATTTTACTTTGTTTCCCCTCCTTTTTGTTGTTTTATTTGTTTTGAAATTTTTTGTTGGTTTTGTTTTTGTTTTTAGTGTATTACTGAAACTTTTCAGGCTGAACAGCTGTCGGGAATAAAATATTAACAATTGTTAGATAGTGGCCTGGTTGATCATCAGTATGTTTGAAGTATTTTAAAACTCTGTGGGAGACAGGTTTTTCTTTCACATCATTTGGGATAAAAGGTGTAAAAGCTTATGAACAATTTCATCTGTGCAGTAGGGTGGGAAAAAACCTGCTTTGCTCCCGAAGGAGACACATCTGAGCTGGTTTGCAGTTTCTTGGAGTCTCACTGTGCAGCGTGGGCTCTGTGTCAGTTTTATTTGTTTGTTTTCCTCAACGGTCTGAATCGCAAGTGTCCTTTTTCAGCCCGGTTTGGTTAAAAAAAAAAAAAAAAAATATAAAAGCTTGCAACAGTAAAAGAGGCGGGACTGGTTCCAGCAGGAGGCTCAGTCCATTTTGCAAATCGGTTTCTCTAATGGGATTGCACCTGCCTACACTGTCCCAGTGAAGAGGTGGCACCAGCCAGCCAGAGGGTCAGGCAGCGCTTTTTGGAATCCTTCCTAAATTCCTGCTGCTGGGAAAGGAGAATCCATCATCCAGTGGCCATTCCGCTGCATCCCCTCATTCCTGCCGTGTTCACGAGCTGTTTGTTGGGGGCTGTGTGCAGTTAGAGCATAAATGTAGGTGTCTTCATGAGGAATGTAGCATCCACCATGAAGTTAAGCGTGAAATTGCAGCTGTTTAGCACCCAGGCATCTGCCGTGATTTAAGGCCATCCCTGCAGGCTATTCACAAAACAAAATAGTTGGCAGCGCCTGTGCACTGGCTACCTGCAGAACATACAGGGCAGTGATGCAAGACAAACCGCTGGCCTGATCCAAAATATAATGAAGCCATGACGAAACATCAGATGACTTCCATGTGCTCGGGACCGGGACCAAGGACTTGCCCCGGCGCTGGCCCTTTGTGCAATCGCTGGGACCAGTGGGCGGGTGGCAACTCCTGCCTCTCCCCCTCCCCCTCACCCCTTCCCAGCACAGATACCATCTTCCTGGCTTTAGGGGTAATTCCTCCTGATTTTAATTCCATAATGGGAGGGAAAGGGCAGACTGACACTAGGAAAAGGACAAGGTGGTCAGTCTAGTCCTGCTTCAATCCCACCAGGTGTGGAATACCTTTATTTGGAGTTTGGGCTGCTGAGTTTGATCTAAGAGCAGTGGAGGGATTCCCAACACCTCTGAAAGATAAAGATCCAGTCCCTAAGTGAGCCAGGAACTGCATACTTGTGTTTCTCAGTGACCATTGCACCCTTCTCCACTCTGCCAGCCGGCTCTCAGACCTCAGCAAGCGCTGAGCCAAAGCAGGACACTCGTGTGCATCCAGCTCTTGTTCTTCCACTCACCTTTTTAAAATTTACCCTCTTCCATCAGCTCTGTCTCTGCAGGCATTACCCATAAATGTTTGAGGATGCAGAACCAATGGCAAATTCACATTGCCACTTCCATCAGCTGCGTGTTTCTGCATAGCACCCATAAACTTTTGCTCCTGAGGGTCCCAGATCTGACAAATTTGTATTGCAGGGTGGTCTGCACCGGGCAGTATGTCCTCAGCAATATCCCATGGCTCAACAGGGTTTGTGCCACTTCAGTTGGCAGGGGCATAGCCAGAACCTGCCAGAGCAGAATCAGATAAGGATTCACCCAACACAGTGCTCCAGCCCCGGTCCCGAGGGATGTCGGTACCGGAATACATTTGAAGGCTTTTCCTGAGCCTCTCCAGTCACTTGATAGGAGTTTCATCCTTCCCCTGGCATTCCCCCAACACTTTACTAATATTTTGTCCCTTTGGGACCACTTCCCGAATACCTTGTATTACCATGTTCCTTAGTCTGATCATTTTTGCCCGGTCTGCTTCCACCTGAGCATTCCATGATGGTCTTTGTTCTGGCCACTTTTCTGCCCCGCTCCCGCCCTGGGGGTTCCTGAATTCCCAATCCTTTATGGCAGCCTGCCTTATAATATCTCATTCTTCAGCATTAAACAAGGATCTCAATATAGATATGATGATATCTATATGAATATATACTATATATACTATTTCCCAAAAATTCGTCCTTTGGCAGGTCTGACTGTCCCCATGCACCTGCCCAGCCATAAGCACCAAAGCCTGCTTCTTCCAGGGAAAGCATATCCTTAGCTGGAACCGGGGATTGCTCCGGAGGAGCTGCT